TTAATTTCCTATTTACGTCGTTTCTTGACGTAACAGTCATAAATATAAGAAATAATCGGTATTTATTCCACGCATACCTGAAATAGACGCCAATTATGCCATTTTTCTAAGGCAGATGAAATTATTAGGTTTATCGTACAGCAGCTTATAATAAGGATTGAGACTATATTTTGTTATTATATAAATATAAACATAATATAGATGATTAATTTAATGTATTTTCATTTTTATTGTTTTAGTTTTACGTTTTAAGGGAGGAGCCCGTTAATTTAATAAACTGCAATTTGATTCATTCAATATATTTATGAAACTAAAAATTTCAAGATTTCTAGCTGAGAATGAAATGGAAGCTCCATTGGAAGCTGACATTTTGAAAAGTTGCCAAAAAAGCGAATCCACTGAGAAGGTGAAATTTGTCCAGGAAATAACGCAAAAAAGTAAGTACATTATTGCTTTTGTCAATGCAGAAACAACTCTTCCCTGAGTCAATACGTCTTCGTATGTAGTCGAACATTATAGTCCTCCACTCACTTATTCTCCAATATTTATCGCATACATTTCCACGTAACTGCGAATGTCTTCCTGGGTCCATGGGAGTTGATAGTTTCCATGTAGCCCATTGTACATCCACCTATACCGTGCATCTATGTTTCAGGGAGAATGTCAATTCGTGATGTCGATAAATGGAGAAAGAATGATCGATCAAAATTGAAGAATGCCGAGTGTATTGTTTATCCATTCACCTTGTTGTTCATTGTCGGGGGATGAGTTGTCATAATTTTTAGTGGATGGCTCGCGTTGTGCTGCAGGTATCATTTATCAAATTAATTTGGCACCATTTGAGCTTTCTTATCCAGGTCAAGTTGCTCTGCTAATGGTGGCAATTCAGATCGCCATGGGTGGAAATTTCATGTGCAATGCCGTCAACTGTCATCCCCAGTCGACGTTTTGCCGCATGGCGATTGTTACGGTGGCACAGGCCGGCACCATTAAAATTACCATTATTCAATGAATCGGACTTGCTCGCCGCATCGCATCTAGGTAAAGATCGCAAACTTAAAGTGATATATAGAAAAAATATATACTTGATTCAACTATATATGTTATACTTCAAATCAGCATCCTTAATACTTGACTTTAGTTTATTGCGTCCTCTAAGTGATATCAATAGAAAATATTTTTAATCATTTGGAGGATAAACAAATTGATCGACTTATAGTAAAAACATTACTGCAGTTACGACGATAATTTCTCTTGTGGTAGATATTGAATTTAATTTCCGTTGAAGAAAGTTGTGAAACTCTATATTTATCTGAAAATTCAATTTTTAATTTCACTGGATTATTAGCGGCACCCTTGAACTACAAAAATAATATCTCCTTGAAATTATTTTTGTCAATATTACTGAAGTCCTAGTTCATTTTAAATCCATTAAGATTTTCTTTTTTAATATTTGATGATTTTTGTGTGACTGCATGACTGCACAAATGCTTGAAATGATTAGAAAATTCGAGAATAATCGTAATTGAATAGTTCTGTTAGATCCGCTATTGCGATACTCATTGATTGTAGAACTAGTTTATCATTAAATTTTGCTCCGGCATGAGGTACAGCTACAGACTCGAATCGTCTTTGTCAACACTGTTATCGGTTGGGAAACAATTGATACCGCGCTATATAAATCCAAACTGTTTTTGGTCCTCTAATAGTCTCACGATGTTGACCAAGTATATCGCACTAGCCTTGCTGCTCACTCACAGTGAGTAATCAATTTTAAATCGAAGGTGTCTCTGTTTCCATCAAAACATGTTACGTATCTAAAAACTAAACGTCGGATCTACAATTTTGTTTTTGTCGTTCACGCTATCTGAGTTTCCACGTCAAAATTAAAAGTTTTTATTTTTATGTCTTAACCCTTAACCCTTAACAGAGTTGAAAGAAATAATAATAAACATAAAAATAATAATAATAGTTTATTAGCCTTTCTTTTTAAGGGTGTTCTACACCCATATATGGTAAAATTAACGTTTTTCCACTTTTCTGGGAAACTTACAATGGGATTGACGTGAAAAAATATAACGTTTTTGCATTTTGTCAGTATTAAATGACCTACGCAGTTACAATATGACGTCATCATTTTTCAGCGTTTTTTCTGAAGTTTTAAAAAGAATCAGGAAACTGTGGAGAAAATACATGAAAATGATCACTTCACCACAAAAATTTGCGAGCCATTAAATAATTACAAAACGTCAAAACGTTATATTTTTTTACATCAATTCTATCTATAATTTGCTAAAAACTCTAAAGAACGTGAATTTGGGCTATATATAATCATTATAAACTTTGGCTGTTAGACTCGTAAAGATTATCATTTAAATAATTTTTTTCAGCTTGTCATGCAATCACACATGGCGATGAAGTCCGCCCACATCAGTACCCGCATCAAGTCGCTATTTAGACCGAATGTCCACTGCTGGGTATCCGAAATTTAGTCTGCGGTGGAGTGATTCTAAATCGTGATTGGATCCTGACATCTGCCCAGTGCCTCAATTTGTTTAAAAACTTAATCGTCAAGGCTGGGAAGTACGAGCTTTCCGTTACGGACCCGATGCAAGAAATTCGCAGTGTGAAATATTATTACAAGCATCCGCAATATAAACGGTAAGTGAAACAAGAGTCAAAATTTCATGACATTTCCATCGTTGATGACACTATGGCACTCGATATACTGCCAATTCATTAACATCACTCGCGAATATTATTTATAAATAATCCGGAGATATGCTTGTGTTCTTCATGATGTTCCCAAAGATGAGAGATTCATGTATCAAATAACAATTGGTTCCTCAATAAAAAAAATATCTTAATGGACAAAATCTCAATCGCTATCTCCACTAATCCACCAAATTTTTTCTGTCTTGATTTCAAGGCCGGGCTGGTTTCGTGGAATTAGCAAAAACGATATCGCTCTCTTGAAGCTGAATAAGCCCCTAATTTTCAACGAGCATATTCAACCAATAGCACTTCCAACACCAGGAGCAACTCAGACTGGAGTCGGATGGTTGACAGGTTGGGGTGGTGATGGTAGAACCTCAGAAACTCTCGAGGCTGCTCAAGTGTCCTTCTTGGATGCTAACAATTGCACACAACTCGTCAAGAAATGAATCACTAACGATCAGATTTGTACTGGAGTCATCGGACGAGTCGTCTCCGCCTGTTCTAAGGACCTCGGAGGACCCGTTATCCAATATCGGCCAAATACCTCTCCACAACTTGTTGGAATCGTCTCCTGGACTGACCATTCGTGTCGCAAAGGGGTTCCCACAGTTTACTCTAAGATGTCTGCTTATGTTGGTTGGATCCAGAAAACCTTCAACAAGTTGTAAATTCATATTAAAAAGCAGTTGAACCATGTCATAACGTTTGTGTAATTCATCTATCATTGCACATTTGATTCTCATTAATTTCATCATTTACAGAAATTGAAAACTGAGAATTCAAGGATAGAAGAAAATATAGATCGTCTTGGGACTTTGGAACACGTGATAGTTTCACGAAAATTCAATTTTTCCAAGAATTCAACGTTTTTTATGAACCAAAGGTGTAATACACATGTCAGTTTTAGTTTTTCAGATAATCGCGGTTTTTCGATTTTCTTCCCAGTTCTTCAATTTTTTGTATAACTTCATGGCTAAGTTTCGGGCCATCCCCGTCAAACCGTAGATTTCATGATTTTATCTTTATTTTCATTTATTGGAAAAAAAATTGAAAAAGACCCGCGTTTTCATTCTGGCGTAGAACTTAAGAACCCTAGCAAACTATCATACACGCTATAGCGTGTATGTAGCGTGTATGTTGCGTGTATGTTGCGTGGATGTTGTGTGGATGCAATTTTTGGATGAAAAACAGGTAGGAATCGATGAAAACAAATGAAAGAATGATGTGGGATGAATAAGGTGGATTATTCGGTGCATTTGGCG